ATCCTTGGATTTGTGTGTGGTTTCAATTATGCCTCACCATCTTGATTTCTCGTATAAATGTTTTCGGAAGTTGATCAAGCAGTTTTTTCCTGAAATTCCGGTTTAGCATTGCTAGAGCGTTACCACGTCTTTGCTAAAGGCAGTGACTAATCTTTGTCTATTGTTGGAAGCTCCTTAGAGAACCTTGAAACTTGGAAGCTAATTTCCCTGCTCCAAAGTGAGGTTAGGCTTAGTTAACCGGGAACGGGGTTGAGTTAGTAACCGTGTGTGTATTGGTTAACGTCCGCTGTGCTACTTCTGCGCACTTCTCCAATTTTTATTTACAGTTACATTGTGAACATCAAAATTCATTCTCGAGAAAAATCGCCTTAAGATATTTTTGCTGAAGTCTGAGCAACAATGACGAGTATAAAGTTAAGCGCAACTCTGGGAGTAGAAGATATCACAGTAAACTTTCGTTGCTCAAATGCAACATTTTCCCAGAGCGAGAGGATGCTAGACCTATTCCACCACAGGAGAAATTCACTGCCGATAACGCCCTTAGAATTTCTCCTTTTTATAAAGAAAAAATGAAGTTCATCTCGATTAACAAAGTTTGCTACTACGAAAGCGAAAACAGATCAAACTGGATGTTCAAAACTGGATTGTTTTCTCAGAAGGCCTAAAATGAACCCACATATTTGTTTAGCAGTTCGTATCATGGTTTACTTGTTAAGGGTTTTCACGCTTAACGTTAACTCCTCGGCTTCTATTATGATTCGTCTAACAAGAATTAACAGTTGTTTTCCATTTCAGTAAACAGACTGATTGTAAGAGATTTTAGCTATAAAATGATTCTACCAGCAAAAAATGTTTCTCATTTAGACAGAGCACCCAGTCACAGGTTGTTGGCACTTTTTGGTTGGTAGATCTTTTTTTATTTACTTTATATGCAGTTCCCCATCTTTCCTTCCCCACCTTGCACACCTTTTCCTTCTCTCCTTCTCTTCACTCCATCTCTTTATGCAGATCACACACATTAAACGTTCTTCTATTTTAGGTTACTTTTTTCAATTAAAAACACACAAGCTTACTCCTCCACGTGAAGAGCATTGAATGGCACAAGATTCTAGGCATTCCCGGAAGTTGAGAGAAATGTTCCAGTTATTTCAACGGCAGAGACAAGGGAAAAGTCCAGTAAGAGTGCTCTTCTTCTTATTATTAAATGCATCTCATGCTCTCTAAAAGAGGGTTTCCTGGTTGTTAGTCTACGAAGCGTTTCTGAAAATGGGTTTAGTGGAAGTGGTAAGGTTGGAAGTTTAGAACCGCAACCTCGTTTGCATCCTCTGCAAAAAATCCCGAAGTGGCTCATTCTCGTTCACTTCATCCTTTAGTTTAGCTCTAAAGCCTTTCTAAGTGAATACCTTGGGTTTGCTTCGATTTCTCATCTATCTCATTTGATTTCACATCAGACGTTTTTTATAAACAAAATCTCTACATGATAACTTGTCACTTTTTTCCCGTCTGGTATGAAAACCGGTGTTTCCGTACCAGATTTTGCTTTGTTTAGGGTAGTTCAGAAATTCAGAGAGACACCTTTGTCTTAATCGATCGCTGCTTTCGATGAAGTCACAAGAAGTCGCTAAAAAACGTGGAGTTGAAGTCGTAGAAAGGCAACTGGAGACCACAACACTCTTATTTTAGAATCGTTTATACCGTCGTCAGGCGGTGTTCTTTGCCACGCTACTGAAAGCTATTCAGTAATCAATAACCTGTAGAACAAGTCATTGATCGTCGAGTGACTCTAGCGCACCAATAAAGTTCCCCTTTCTCCCTGTCGTGTGCCAGAGTAGCCCAGTGGGTTAGCTCTCTATTGAGACTCGTTGGGTATGATGTGCTTTTTTTGAATCCCGAAGAATCCAATCCCTAGCCGCTCCTGTCTATCTGTTGTCGCTCCTGAGCATTAGGTGTCCAGCCTGCTTTATCTTCGATATTTTGGCCTACACAGCGGCGTCCTTGATTTTTCACCATTGATGTAGGACAAAGCTCCTGGCTAGTTCCACCTGGCTAATGCTTGATTTTATAAGAAAAATTTCATCAGCAAAGGAAATACCGCTTAATGGCCGACCACTCATTTTCACTCCCATATTGTCCCATTCCAATGTTCAAATGACGTTCTTGAGGGCAGCGACAACTAATTTTGGCACGATGGTATCGCTTTGCTTAACCGTTCTCTTGAATTCGGTGTTGATGTCGTTGTAGAATGGCGATATTTTAATTGTAAAATTCTTTGTAGTTCACGAAGAAACTTTATACACCCAGTGGGAATGCCCTGTTCAAGGTTTCTATCACTGTTTCTATTTCAGCTGAGTCAAAAGTTTTCCTTAAATCGGATAGTCGATAGTCAAAGGCGGTATTGATCCACATCTCTTCAATCTTAGACTTCTGATTCAGGTTGTTAGCTGTTCGAATGAATCGATCATAACCAAACTCGTGTTAACGAGGATAGCGACACCGCCGACTCTTCCACTGTCGTATGTTCCGAAGAACAGTTCTTTTCCGATGCCATAGACTGGCGTTGAATAGGCCGTGTCTTCTCGTATGAGCCAGTCCGACGACGTTGTACCTTTTTCCTCCCGCACGAATAGGTCCTGTAACAAGGACTCAGATGGAAGTGAACGTGCATTGTAGGCCCAGATCTTCTCCCCAGTCCTTTGCGATTTAGGCACCGTAGAAACGCCTTGAGATTTCCGCACCCTCTCCGTACTTGTCCTTCCCAACGCTGCCGTATCGAGGGGTCTTTCGTGCTCAGAGGAAAAAAGTCCGTTTATTTTACTGCGTTTAGCTTTTTGATACTCACGTATAGCTTGCTGAGCTCTGAACGTGGAGGCTGGGTATAATCACGGGTACTCCCCAGTCTCTCCCAGCGTGGACATTGGCCTTATTTGTTGGAGGCGCCTTCTAACCCCATGACCGACTTTCTTTTAACCTCGGCATTGATTGATAATTCGATGTTTTTCATCAATAAGCAGACAAGAGATTGTTATTATAGAATCTACTAGGATACAATAGCTGACGTTTCGGCGGTTTCGCCTTCTTCAGAGCCTGGAAAGGTTAAATTGAGATGCAATCTACCCAGCCAAACACTTTCATAACCCAAGCACATGAAACTTTACAAATAAATTTGTATTCGCATAAGAAAGAGCTTCATTTAAACACCTACCGTTTATTTGTCGTAAGCCTTTAAGTTAGTCGGCGGATAGCAGCCGCACAAAGTAGTACATTGGCGATAACTGTGTCTGTGTCAGGTCATTGGATTAGCCTGAGGTATGGCGCCACGTCACGCGTGATGACAAGACACTCCTCCTTTCGGTTCATTCTTTTTTACTGTATTACTCTGTGCGGCTGCTAACCACCAACTAATTGGAATACTTGCAACGAATAAACGGTGGGTGTTTAAGTGAAGCTGTTTCTTATGCGAATACAAATTTATTTGCTAAGTTTTATCTGCTGGGGTTATGAAAGTGTTTGGCTGGGCAGATCGCATCTCAATTTGACCTTACCAGGCTCTGAAGAAGGCGAAACCGCCGAAACGTCAATCCCAATAAATTCTATAATAGCAATCTCATGTCTGCTTATTGAAGAAAATATCGACTTCTAACCGTCACCCGTATGCTTCCCTGTAAGTCGATTGCAGGCTTCAGGCCGAAGTGACTTGTAGAATAGTTAAACGAGAACACATACACTCATGCATTCCTCGATATGTCCTCGTAGGCACAGAAATTATGTCCCGAATGGACGCGGTAGAAACAGGGAGTCATAGCCTAGCTAAATCTGCGCCTCAGGGAAGCAAAGGTCGCTTTTGGTACGCGACTAAACCCTTTTCGCCACCTGTAGACGGCATGACTAACCGGCAAGACATCTTTCAATGGAGATACTCCGTGATAATCAGTAGGCAGCCTATATTGGCTATTTCAATGGAGGGATCCAATGTCCTCAAGAGCGGCCGAATTTATTCGCAAAATCATAACATCGTCGTGAACGGCGGGTGCGGGTAAGCAATGCAAATACATGAAACCACAGAATCCTCATAACATATGATTTCGGGTGGGGTAAGAAGGGTTTGGCGGAGAATGAAACACTTGTGAAATACTAAAAATTCCTTTCTTTGTCACAGTACGAATCTCAACCTTAGGAAACTGATAAAAAGGAGCTATTATGGAAAAATGGAGAAAAAACATAAAAGATAAAGGGTTGATATATCTCTGAGAGGTAGGCCATGCATGCATTTATTACTTGGATACTTGGATGGCAGTCTTCACTGGTTGTAAGAGTCCCAGTATATTCTTCATTCATCGGAGATTTGCTGGTTTAGCCGTTGTGGTTTCCTGGAGTCCCAAGACAAACATGGCCAAAGTGTGACCTACGTTATCACCACCACAGGGTGTCTCCACCCTTGTGAATCAGAGGGAAATTTGCCATCATGAGACCAGTTTGTTATGAGGACGGTGATGGTTCCTGGTATTGGTTTACTTTTACTTGTGTTACCTGATGGAAACGGCGGACTCCTCAATTTGGGAGATACTGTTGAAGCGATGAATTCACCACTGTTCATCGCAGCCAAACACCTCCTAGCCACGATAAGGCTGTAAACCGTTGAGAGGAGGCATGCCTTTAAGTTCATTAGCCATCACGGAGGTCTTCTATGGTGTAGTCGATCTATAGAACGATTTGCGCCAGCTTGGCGTTCGAAGTCAGTTATTCAGTCCTCTTTTGCAAGTCTGATGCCGATTTGCTTGATAGTTTGGATTACTTAGACGCGAAACCGAACCAGCGACCAGCTGTTTATTGAAGGGCACCTCTTACCACTGCGTTACACTCGTCTTTCTACTATTTAGTGGAAAAATTATCAAAGGCATAGACAGCCAAAGGAGCGAAAGAAAAACGCAACTTGGTTCATTAAGAATAATTTTCTATGATTCATTCACTAGGACGATGAAAACGATGAAAAAGCGACTGGCATGCAACAACGTAATCGACCAAAGTCTTCGCCATGTAATTCAACACCAGAAAGCAAAGGGGGAAGGAAAAAAGCAGGTGTGAAATAGAGCCTAAGTTTCCATATTAAAAACGTTTTCCAATAGTTTAGCGATGGCCCTAACGACTTTTTGGAACAATTTTTCTGATTCTATGCTTTATTTCTGTTCGTCGTTAATTTTCACATTTTGCAGCCGCTTTGCTCGCCGATGCCACGCTTGCTACTGTATGCTCTATTTTACAGTGTAGAAAGCAAAATCCTAAGACGCAAGGACAATTTTTTGGTTTAGGTAGATGAACAAGAAGCACCACCACCACCAGCAAAATCAACGTCTGAGTTTAAACGTCAAAATATCAGACTGAAATACGGTAGGCTTCCATTCAGTGATTTCGACTATAAATGTTATCTGAGAACCAAAACGAAAAAAAAACAGAAAACGAGTACCTCATACAAATATTATTCGTATTTTTGTAAGTGATACGAGCCCGTAAACTATTAGCAGCATAATTGTCTCTTGGCGTTACGTAGTGTTGTGGGACAACTTCCATTCACCGTCATACTGTAAGGATCCCTCTCCAAAACAATGCACGAATGCATCGCCTATTTGATGCTGATCTACATAATCGATTAGTGCTGACCGAAGTAAAGTAATCTGTTGCAGGACTTAATGAAAAGGATCAGGAGGTATGGTATGATTCTTGTATTTTATAAGACTTATAAGATTTCTTTTTACGAAATGACTGTTCCATGCACCCTATTCTTTAACTTTTCTTTGTGGTGCGTGTGGTGCAGTGATTGTATGCGCCCTGCAATACGCACATGGGATCGATCCCGCGCACGTGGTTCACCAAGCTTTCCATCCCTCCTATGTCGGCAAATTGGCATCATACATGTCTGGGAGGATAGGTGCACTGGTTCGATACATCGGTAGGCCACCGCGAGTCATTGTAAAGGCCAGATGTGCATTCAATCACCTTCAAACGATACTTAATAAAGTCGAATACATGGTGCATCTCTCAGCGATTTGTCAACGCCGAGAGCTGTATCTTTTTTTTTAACACTTCGTAATGCTCAGAATTTACTCAAAATCTTTAACAAATTGTGACCATCCAATAATGTTTGAATTTTTCAGTTCTATAGAAAAACTAAGGGCGAAGATAACGAGGAATTCGAAAACATAAACGCTGTGGCCCGACCAGCTGCAACTAAAATGAGAAAAGCTAAACTCAAGTAATGAATGGTTTCCTTGCTAATATCCACATAAAAGCGGCAGTAGCATATATTTGGAACATTACATGGTATTTTCCAGTTCCGACTTTCTACTAACCTTGACATTTCTTAGTGGGTCAGTTTTTTCCTCTTGTCCAGAGACAAGACTGTTAGTAACTAGGTTTATTCAATGCCGGTTGACGTTTCGACGGATTCGTCTACTTCAGAGTCTAGAAAGATCAAGTTCATTGCAATATAGTCGTCTAAATACTTCTACAACCTGTAAGAAAAAAAGAGGGAAAACTAAATCCAGAACCACACATCTTAACTTGGATCCGAGCAGGCTGTACCAAATGCGACTGAAATGTAGGTTCCCCGTATTTCTCCTGAAGTTATAGAAGTATTTGGCTGACTATATTGCAGTAAGTTTGACCTCGTCGGCTCTGAAGAGTTCGGAATTCGTCGAAGCATGAACCAATATTGAATAATTCTTGTTATTATTAGCAACTTCGTGTCTCGTCATGAAGAAAACACTTGCTAATATGTCTGTTATTTCTCGAAGAAGCAACTACTTTAAGGTAATTATGGATGGGGAAAACCAAAGGAATAGGCTTGATGCTCACTTTTTACTTACTTCCATTTACTATTTGCTTTTATTTACTTCTACTTTACGAATACACTTTCATGAAACCCCAAAAGAAGAAAGTGGGGTGAATGAAGTAAAAATGAGGAGAAGATAATCGAAGGAAAGGATGCTTTTTATTATCATACTTCATAGAATATTCCAGATGGAAGACCACAGAAACAAAAGAGCAAGAGTCGTCGTCCCGTGGCACAGATAAAGCGCCGAAATTAATTACCGAGAAGTGTGTTGTTAGAAAGTGCGCATAAATCGTTTTAGTGTTTCTTTTTTCTGTGAAGAAATGTTTTCCAGTGCTGAGGAAATCACGGATGAGATCGAAGGTGAGTCACAAGAAAATCCTCGAGTCGCCGAGATTAAACGCAGGGTGAGTTTTTGTAAGATATTTTTTCTAGATTGCACTCAGATTTATGTTTTTATATCTCGTAATTTAGGCCAGTGTAACCAAGTCTGATAGTACGGACAAGGTAAGGGACGAAGATGGTGGATTTAGAATAAGATAGTCAATCATCACATATTATACAAAAATTCTAATTAAGACAGGGTAACCACTTTGATGCTGAGATATTTGCAACGAACGCGCTACTACCTTTCCGGGGACAAACGCGTTCAACACCATGCCATGCAGGTCCTTCATCTCGTCTTTTTCTCAGCTAGTTTTATCGATCAATGCCATCAGCAATTTCGCATCATTTCCTGCCGTGGAAAATTGTAATAGGCAGCAAATAAAAACGTTAGTATTGTGATTTCAAATACATCCTCAGTTTAACTGGGTTCGACGCCGGTTTGGACTCCCTAGATCAATCCCGTTGACAGCTGAATGCTGATGGCAGAAGATCGATAGAACTAGCTGAGAGGCAGGCAAAACGAAGGACCCGGATGGTGTGGTGGTGAAGTGCGCTACTCCCCGGAAAGGACAATAGCGTGTTCGTTCCCCACCCGCAGACACCTGCGGTCCGGGGTTTTGTAAGTATCTCAGCATCATTGTGGTTATAAGTCAAGACAGCTCAATCGACATGTTGCATGCAAGAAAACGCCTCTGCTATATGACTTTCTACAAAATCATGACTTCCTTGTAGAGGCATTTGAGATGTCAGATCAGAACTTATTATTTTGCCACGACATAACAATGTCCAGTGCCGTCACGCTTTATTGTGCTCTGACGTAGCATCGAAAAGAGTACGAAGCCATTAGTCGTCTCGAATTCCATCACCTCTTTTTCATCGCATTAAACTTAACAGTGTACCTGTTAATGTTTCGAGCATTAGATTCTTAGCAAATGTTAGTTCTGTCCCAAGATGCGTACATACGGTGGCTTATTTTTGTTCTAATGCTCTTCCAATATCTTATTACAGTTCTCGTCATATTTTGTAGATGCAGGAATTAACAGAGTTGAGGATACTTATCAATCGGATTGAAGAATTAGAAGTGGCGAATCGTAAATTGACGCTGCAAATGAGGCGCATGAAAAAACAGCTGTCGGAAAAAGAAAGGGTACGAATTGTATTGGTTATTACATATGAGCAGAAACCACTCATTTGCCACCTTTATTTTGTAAAAATAAAACGAAAAGAAAAAAGTACGAATCAAAAATGATTGGCCAAAGTTTATTTGTCACCAGAGAAAACTTCTGGTTTCCAAACCTTGCTTATTGTAAAGTAAATTTCTCGGTCCTAACGATAGCCAGTATCTGTAAAGTTTTTTTGTTTGTGTAGTTGAATCGACAGGCCGTTCGTAGCCAGGTACCTCAGCAATACGCTCTAAACACTGGTTCAAACCCGCACGGCGCCAGCCAATCCTCCCACGCCTCTAGAATGGTGCAGTTGCTACTAGAATTGTCTGGAAAGCTGCCTTTGATGAGCAAATGTCGGTGATTCTCTGGTGAAGATTTGGTTCGCCCTAGTACTGCTACGCCATGGAGAATCCACTCGAACAACAATCAACGATATCCCTAAACACGGGTTACGGTGACGTTAGAAAAATAAAAGAAAAGGATATGGAGTTGCGGAAACGAATAGAAAAAATAAATTGGTGGATCCGCGCAATATATCGTCTCAGGTTATATAAAACTAAAAGAAAAGCAAAAAATGATTGAATCATTGATCGGTGCTGGCCCAAATGAATTGCTAGTAGGAAATAAAAGAAAAGCAGCAAACTTATATGAATATCGTCATAATTTATAAACTAATATGCGAAACTTTCCAAGAATTTCGCCTTACGACTACCAAGTAAACGATGTATTTTTATTCTGGTATTTTAGAAAATAGAAGAACTCACTTCGCTTGTAAGTTTTCTACAGAAAACTGAAGAGCCTGAGAAACCTGATGAAAAGCCGGTACCTTGTTTCGATCTTCTCTCCGTCTTTCACTATATCTACACAAAAGCAACGTAATCTGTTTTTATTTCTATTGAGCAGTGTTACAACAGATTAATATCATAGCCAGCTTTGAATTTAGCGGTGGTTTCCGTGCTTCGCGAGTAGTGCGGAACATGGCTATCGATTGATTGTAGTTGCGCATTGTGCAACCTCAATCTCGACCCTTTGTAGTAAAAAGCCTTTAATTGCGAACAAATTTCCAGTTTTAGCACTAATGTGGATTACAATATGGCTCTTTCGTTATAACTTCAGTGCTTCTCGGACCTGTAAATTGCGCGCCAGCGTGTACATTTCGTGTCACATACATCTATAGGACTCTCGTACGAAATAGCAGCACATCGTTTGCACAACCTTCGGCGGCTTATTTATTATTGTTTTTTTATTCTTCAAAGAAAGCTCTGTTCTCTTTTGTGTCAGTGACGTGGGTTTATTATCAACTGGGAGAGTGTAGTCGGCGCTAGCTAAATGGTCCGTTCTCATTCAACACAGCGGTCATTCAAATGATGTGATTGCAATCTCATCGTGATACAGACAAGCCAACAAGAAGCGATCGCTCTTCGTGGTTTGGAAATTATGAAACGGAATCAGTTACTCGAACACAGTGTACGTAACGTTGAACGAACGATGCTTTGTAATTTCTTCGAAGCTGTTGAACCAAAACCAACTCAAGAAGTAAGCGTTTATTTGCTAGTCTTATTTAAAATTGTACAGACAAGACAAGGCTGAAATGTTTGCCCCCGGCTCACTTCATTAGCAGGAAAAGTGGGCAAAACCCAAATAAACGAGTTAGCAACAAGAAAACAGCTCTATCTATTATCGACAACATTCTTATTTAACCAAAGCCACAAAGAATATAACCACAACGTTGCTGAGATATTTGCAAAACTCGGGACCGTAGGTGTCTGCGGTGGAGAACAACCGCGCTATTACCTTTTCCAGGAGCTAATGCGTTCACCACCAGGCCATGCGGGTCCTTCACTTCGTCTGCCTCCCAGCTAGTTCTATCGATCGGTGCTATCAGCAATCACCCGTCAACGGGATTGATCTGGGGAGCCCAAATCGGTATTGAACCCAGTTGAGCTGAGGCTATAGTTATAATCACAATCTTAACCTTTTTATCTACTGCCTATTCTTTTTAACGGCACGGTATTTTGCGAAATATAACTGCGGGTGTCTGCGGTCCGGAGTTATGCAAATATCTCACCATTATAGTAGTTATATATCGTAAAATACTCTGTCGTTAAAAAGAATAGGCAGTAAATAAAAAAGTTAAGTTACATCAGTGTTCAGTCACTCTGTAGAAAACTGAGAGCTCTAAGGATCTTTCGACGCTCTCTAAAAACTCGAGGTTCATCAGTTCATAACGGATGCGCAATGCATTTGACCTCGTTAGGCATTGTTAGAAATGATTCAATGCATATCTGGCCTGTAAAATAAATCACGGTGCCATACCGATGAGTCGAGTCAGTACTGCTATCGTCCT